TAACCATCCTCATGGGTGTTCCAGGTAATTTTCCTCCTGACCATTAGTGAAGGCTTATGTGTGCCCAGTACCGGACTAAGTGGGTTCCATGTTTGCCGTCATTTAATCCTCATGTTAGCAAGAGAAAGTGTTAGCATCATCCACATTTACAGACGAGGAAACTGAGGCAGAGAGGTTGGAGGGACAAGTAACTAACTTTAATGTCACCAGCCAGTAATATTTACATCAAGGGCTCAAACTTAGTTGTGTGTCTCTCTACAGCCCAGGATCTTGACAGCAATCCTATTAATCTTGGTGATGATGGTGGTGATGATGACAGCTAGTGGTCACAGAGCATTATGCCTGTGCCAGGCACTGTCCTCCACTTTTGAACATATATTTTAACCCATTTAAGTTTTACAACAATGCTATGAGATATAATATTACTATCCCCATTTAACAGATAGTGAAACTGAAGCACAGACAACTCAAGTTGCATGCTCAATGTCAGATGGCCACTAAATAGTGGCCAGGATTTGAAGCCAGTGTTTTATGAAACAGTCATTTATGAAGATCCAAATCCTCCCAAAGTAAAAATGAGGGGAGTATTTGCTGTAATAAAAGAATCACCACCACAGCTCTCCCTCCTGGCGTGTATGTGATGCTGTACAGTTTGCAAAGGATTCTCACGGCTCAGAGGGATTAATCCTCATGCCACCTTTGTTGAAAAAGGACTGGTTTTGAGTATGAAAGGGCCCATGACTGACCTGAGATCATCTCTGGGTTTCTGGGAGCTGGTAACTCCAACCCTGGGCTCCCAAGGAAAGCTCAGGCATTTGTATCAAAAATATCAAGCTTGTACCTGGCTCCCTTTTTCTTTTTTGTTTAAATTTTTATTTTAGATTCATTTTGGGGGTCTTCCCTGGTGGCACAGTGGTTAAGAATCTACCTGCAAATGCAGGGGACACGGGTTCGAGCCCTGGTCCGGGAAGATCCCACATGCCGCGGAGCAACTAAGCCCGTGAGCCACAACCACTGAGCCCGTGTGCCACAACTACTGAAGCCCGCATGCCTAGAGCCTGTGCTCTGCAACAAGAGAAGCCACCGCAATAAGAAGCCCGCGCACTGCAACGAAGAGTAGCCCCTGCTCACCGCAACTAGAGAAAGCCCATGTGCAGCAACGAAGACCCAATGCAGCCAACAATAAACAAATAAATAAATAATAAATAAATAAAAAGAAAATTATTAAAAAAAATTCATTTTGGACTTTAAGAGAAGTTGCAAAGAATGCAATGAATTACTGTATATCCTTCACTCAGAGTCTTCAAATATTACCATTTTACCGTATTTGCTTTATCTCTCTCTCTCCGGTTGATTGGATGAGGCCCACCCTCATTACGGAAAGTAATCTGCTTTACTCGAAGTCTTCCAATTTAAATACTAATCACATCTAAAAATACCTTCACAGCAACATCTCAACTGGTATATAACCAAACATGTGAGCACTATAGCCAGGCCAAGAGAACACATAAAATTACCCATCCCAGCTATCAAGTTTCCTTCATCCTTCTGCTTTTCTGTCCTAGATGTGTTGACATTTCAGCCTTAGCATTATCACCTCAAGGTTACAAGATGGCTGCTGAACTCCAGAAATCACAATCTCAGACAACAATACTGTCCAGAGCAGTGGCCAGGGAAAAGAAGATAAAAAAGGTCTTTTCTTTGTCCATCTCTCTCTTAATAGACAGTCTGGGAATAGACTGGAAGACAGTCTTCCCAGAATCCCTTAGCAGACTTCTCTCTATGTTTAATTGGCCAGAATAAGGTCACATGTCCACCTCTAGACCAATCACTGGAAAGGGGACACAGGATGCCAGAACTGGCTTAGACCAATCAAGACTCATCCCCTGGGACCAGGTGGATGAATTTGGGTAGCAAGGGAAAATAGAGGAATTACTGCTGGGTAGGCAACCAACAGTGCTGGTGTGTACTTGATGCTCCATAAACGCTGAGGAGTGAACCAATGGATGACTTAAACTTGGTAGAGGCAAGAGTGAGATAAAGGAAACCAAGTGTGTAGAGAGTTGGCTTGGGTCTCCTTTGCAGGCTTAGCTTTCATGGCTTGCCCAGTGAGTGCCCTTGACGATGAACAGGCTATCTGGGAGACCCTAGCTGGTCAGGTAGACAGGGCAGCCCAGTTGCAGAGGAAGATGTGGCCACCACCAGCCTTTGTCCTCTCTGATGTGACAATCTGGTTCCGTCCCATGGCCTCCCAGCCTGGGCTCTGGCCAACCCTCTGACACCGGGACAGCCATCTACTGTTCTAGAAGCTGACTCTGCAGGCGGGAAACCATGGAGATTTCCCCAGCAGGGAGTGGGGGTGGAAGGAGAGAGGGAAGAGGGGGAGCTCTCAACCCCAAAGCTAACAGCCAGTAAGAGAGGTCAAGGGTGGGCTTCCCTGGTGGCGCAGTGGTTGAGAGTCTGCCTGCCGATGCAGGAGACACGGGTTCGCGCCCCAGGTCCCACATGCCGCGGAGCGGCTGGGCCCGTGAGCCGTGGCCGCTGAGCCTGCGTGTCCGGAGCCTGTGCTTCACAACGGGAGAGGCCACAGCAGTGCCTGCGTACCGCAAAAAAAAGAAAAAAAAAAGAGAAGTCAAGGGTATCCTGAAACGGGTTGGAAAATTCAGTCCTCATTTATAGGATACTTTCCAAACCTTTTTATATTTATCGTCTTAAGTATCCCCACAGGCAAGGGAGACAGACATCATTCTTCTCATTATATGGATGAGGCTCTGGAGGTCCAGAAAGTCAAAAAGCCTTGCCCAAGGCCACTATATGCATTTCCTATTGCTGCTGTAACAGATGACCACAGACTTAGTGGCTTTAAACAATACAAATTTATTATCTTACAGTTCAGGAGGTCAGAAATCCTAAAGTCAAGGTGTTGGCAGGACTGCGTTCATTCTGAAGGCTTCAAGGGAGAGTCTGTTTCTGTGCCTTTTCCAGCTTCTAAAGGCCACTGTGTTCCTTGGCTTGTGGCCCCTTCCTCCATCTTCAAGGCCAGCAGTGTAGCATCTTCCAATCACACCGCCTTTCCTCACTCTGACCTCCTGCCTCCCTCTTCTAAGGACGCTTGCGATTACATTGGGCCCACCATCTGGATAATCCAGGACAATCTCCTCATGTCAAGGTCCTTAACTTAATCACATCTGCAGAGTTCTTTTGCCTTGTGCGCTAACATATTTGTCACTTGTGGGGATCAGGATGTGGACATCTTTGGAAAGACATTATTCAACCTATCGTGGTTACCCTGCTGAGGAGAGACTGAGAACTTCTGAGGCCCTGCATTGCTCCTTTGCCCTTCTCCTCAGCAGTTTCACTGTGGCTGCAGTCACTGACAGATCCTGTCTGTGCCTTGCACACTCCAGTGGCAGCATTTCAGTGGATCCTGCATTTGCCTTTTTTTTTTCAGTACGCGGGCCTCTCACTGTTGCGGCCTCTCCCGTTGCGGAGCACAGGCTCCAGACGCGCAGGCTCAGCGGCCATGGCTCACGGGCCCAGCTGCTCCAGGGCATGTGGGATCTTCTCGGACCGGGGCGCGAACCCGTGTCCCCTGCATCGGCAGGCAGACTCTCAACCACTGCGCCACCAGGGAAGCCCCTAAAGATTATTTTAACGTCTTTTTTCATGAATTGTCCGTTCATAGTTTTCGTCCATTTTTCTATCTGGTTTTCACATTTTCCCCTCAAATTTAAAGGGTTATTCATATGTTAGTGAGAATGGCCCTTTATCCATGATACATGCTATAAATATCTTCTCCCAGTTTGTCACTTGTCTTTTGACTTCGCTTATGGTGTTTTCGACACGCAAAAGTTAATGAAAGTTTTATGTAGTCAAAGGTACTAATCTTTTATTGCATTTGGATTTTGAGTCATAGTTAGAGGCCTTTTTTTCCCACACACAAGTTATGGAGGAATTCACCCACACGTATACTTCTAGGAATTGCAGTTTCATTTTTTACATCTAGATGCTCATCATTTAGGAGTTTATTCTTTTTTAAAAAAATAAATTTATTTATTTATTTTTGGCTGCGTTGGGTCTTCGTTGCTGCACGCGGGCTTTCTCTAGTTGCGGCAAGTGGGGACTATTCTTCATTGTGGTGTGCGGGCTTCTCATTGCGGTGGCTTCTCTTGCTGTGGAGCACGGGCTCTATGTGCGTGGGCTTCGGGAGTTGTGGCTCGCAGGCTCTAGAGCACAGGTTCAGTAGTTGTGGCGCACGGGCTTAAGTTGCTCCGCGGCACGTGGGATCTTCCCAGACTAGGGCTCGAACCCATGTCCCCTGCGTTGGCAGGCGGATTCTTAACCACTGCACCACCCAGGGAAGTCCCAGGAGTTTATTCTTGTGTGTTGTGTGAGGAGTGGATACTGGGTCAAAAGAAAAGAAAAACAGAGAAAGTATTTTGGGGACAACTGGTAAAATTCGAATAAAGACCCTGTATTAGACAATAGTATTAAGTAAATGGTAAATGTCCTGAGTGTTATAATGGTATTGTGGTTATGAAGGATAATGTCTTTTCTCTTATATGACCACCTGCAGTCTTTAGGGTTGATGCGTCACTGTCTTCACTTAACTCTCAAATGGTTGAGCAAAATTACATATAAGTATGAAGAGACACTTAATAAAATGTGACAAAATATTAGCAATTGATGACAGGCATATGGATATTTATTATCCTTTACTATTCTTGCAACTTTTCTTGAGGTTCAAACTTTTGAAAAATAAAAAGCCAGGAGGAAGCGTGCCACTGCAAGGTTTGAGTAGGCTGACGAGAGCGCCGGGCGCCTTTAAGATGGCCCTGTCCCTTATGTCCCGCCCCTGGCCCCGCCCACCCGGAAGGGCTCGGCCCAAGCCCCGCCCCCCCCCCCACTGCCTACCTCCTTTTCCAGCCAGCCCTGGCCGGGCCCTCCGCAGCGGAGTGTAGTCACGTGAGCCGGGCTGCGGCGCCCCGCTCCGCACCGTCATGGTGGACCCGATGTATGGATGCCCGGGAGGCCGCCTGGCCCGGTCGCTGACGCGGGCACTGGCGCTGGCCCTGGTGCTGGCCCTGCTGGTCGGGCTGTTCCTGAGCGGCCTGACCGGCGCGATCCCGACCCCGAGGGGTCACCGGGGACCGGGGAGGCCGGTCCCACCCGCCTCCCGCTGCCGTTCGGTGCTCCTGGACCCTGAGACGGGCCAGCTGCGCCTGGTTGATGGCCGCCACCCTGACGCCGTGGCCTGGGCCAACCTTACCAACGCCATCCGCGAGACCGGGTAAGGGTTGGCCCGATCTCGCCCGGACCAGCCGGGGGAGGGAGTTGCGTGGGCGCCGGACCTCGCCTGCCCTTAGGACCAGCCTCTTGCCGGTGACAGAGTCCCATCCTTGTCTCCCTGGGGGTCAGTGTCCCACCTCTGAGGCTGCTGCACCGTAGTTGGGTGGGGCTGATGCAGCATCCCTCAGCTCATGGGGACCAGTCTTTTGCCTTCAGCCAGGGATGACAGTACCTCTGTTTCCCTAGTGATACAGTAACTCATCCCCACGTAGGCCGGCACTCTCCCCCTCAACCCTCATCTCACCCCCATGACCAGAGGGGTGGTAATGGCTCTCCAGGAGAAATTCTCACTTCCTTGGTTTTAGCTTACCCCATGGGTGCCAGCCCCCCTGCCTTCTTTCCAGAACCAGAGCAGCAGGACTGAGCTTGGATTCCAGGCCAGAGGGTCCCTAAATTCACAAAGACCCAGACTGTATCATTGCTTGGCCTCTGTTCCTTGCTTCCCTCCTCTCTCCTGGTCCAGGGGAAAGTCGCTTGGCCAGATACTTAGTATGGAGTCAAGCACTCCATCTTTGGCAGTCACCGTCACTATCCTTATCACTGGGACCCAGCCTGTCATTCTGTTGTATGGCTCTTACCTAACTCCTCTGCCTGTCTGGGCTCTCATTTCCCCATCTGTGGTCTGGATTTTGATGATGTGCTCTGGCTGGGAAGTTGGGTGGTACCCCTCTCAGGCCTTGTACCAGGGCTGGTGCCCATTCATTCATTCACTCACCTGGTGCTCTTGGCTATGGGGACACAGAGCTGAGGGGGTCCCCATTCAGTCAGGGAGACAGTGCCAGGAGGGAAAATCCTGGGAGTGGGGAACATCTGCCTCAAAGCCTTGTCAGCAAGGCCCAGACCCTGGATCCACGCTGTGTTGGGGATCTTGGGGAACCCTGTGTCCCCCCCCACCCCCTCCCCCACCTGCACTATCCCATCCTGGGGTCATCCCAGTGCTTAGAATACGTTACCCCCTCCAGCAGGCAGGGCTTTTCCCACTGCTGCCTCCATCCATTTGGCTGGCTTGCATTCATTTCTGCAGGTGTTGGGGAGACATAGGACACTGTGGACACCCCCGTTCTGGTGCTTTGTGGCACTTGGGAGTATATTAGATAGACAGACCAGAGATTGTGGGGAGAGGATTTGCTGCAGACACAGGAGCTGGGTGCGACTAATCTGGGAAGGCTCCCAGGGAGAGGAAGCCACAGAATGGGCTGGTGTCTGTGGAGGGAATCAGAACTCTGGGGCAATGTGACTCTGGAATCTGGTGACCCAGTCTCTGCTGACTCATATGTTTTGGGCCCCCGCTTAGCAGAGCTAAGAGAGATGACAGTCTCTGGATGCTAGGGAGGAGGCACAGAGGTAAGGCTCAGCATGGGGAGGGGCTTTGGCCCCAGCACTTCCCCGCTAGGCTGTGTTGCTGCCAATTATGGAAAACAGAGAAGTGGGGAGAGGACTCCCCTGCTTGTGCTGGATGGAAAGTTCTTCCAGGCTCAGCTCTGGCGTTTTGTGACCTTGGGCAAATCACTTCACCTCTCTGAGCCTGTTTCCTTCCTGAAGGTGGGGCTCGAAGTGAAATTCGGGGGATCACAGAAAGCACCTCTGTTTATTTACTAAAGGAAGGAGTTAATGAAAGAGAAAGGAGTGCGTGTCTTCTGCCCCCATTTTGCAGGTGGGGAAACTGAGAAGAGAGCCCTGGCCTCTTCCACACTTCTTGCTCTCACTTCACTGTTCCAGCATGTTTTCTGTCCAGTCTGCCCCTTTCCCTGTGGGTTTGACAGCATTTGGGACTATGATGTAGGGA